CTGTTTCTGAACAAATCCAACTTCAGACTGTAGTTGATATGCCTCTTTACTGTTAAAATTGTGGAAGGGGTTGAGAAAACTTCTTGTTTTATAGGGTCACAATACAGAAGCATATTTGGAAAGGAGAAAAGACAACCCAACCCTGGCTCACTGAATTTTTTAATCTTTTTAAAAAGCACAGGTATCCACAGAGAGACAATGAGTTCCTAGTTATCCTGCAGAAGGGAATCGAGTGTCTTGTCAAAAAAAGATACTGGGATGCACACACTTGTATTTTTAAATGTGCCCTTCACTGGTGCACATTTAATCTGCAGCAGATTATTACTTGAAGTTACACTCACAGTCTTGTGCTATCAAGATAACATTTTTTTTATGTCTAAAGCAGGAAAAGGACTGATTAGATTTGACATGCTTTTATGTGTGTTACACATACTTACATGCAAAAACACGCACATGCACGGATCAATCTGTAAAAATTCTAGTAGCTTTTATCAAATACTTCCAATCAGGTATCAAGAAACATAAAGCACAGGCTAGCGTCAAAACTTAAACCAACAGAGCATTCCGAAGTACGGTGGTTAACCAAGCATTTTACTTTCCGTTAGATGAGGGATAAAGCCTGATTTTTATTAGCTTAGAAGGGGAGCCCTCTGCTGGGTGAATCAAGGACGCACAACATCCCTCCCTGCCGCGGGGCATTCGCTTTCCCTGGGACACACTGCCTTCTGCGTGCTCCAATCCACCCTCGGTGGTGCTGAGAGTCCAGCCAAGACTGTGGCACGATGCAGAAAAGTCCTGCCAAAGGACAGCACTCCTACACATTAGTTTATGTCCCCAGGACACTACTGACAGGACTGTGGTCTCAGCCTGACCACTGCAGCAGTCCAGGAAAGCTCTTGAGTCCAATTCTAAGAGGAACTGCATCAGCCTTTACACTGCTCCAGTCCAGCTGCTTTGCTACCCACCCTTGCTAACATTTTGTGTAGCTAAAAGCAAAAGCGTCTGCACCTTGGTGATACTGCCATGACTTTCACCCCATCACCAACACAGTTACATGTGAGGCAGTTTTACTACCTCACTAGTTCTTACCTATGATCCTCTGAATAGTAAAACTCTTCAGGCTTAAAGCTGCAATATTTCACAGTTTGAGCCATTTATTTACAGTGTTATGTACAAGCCTGAGAAACAATTGGGATGGACAGCCCAAACAAAGCATTTCAGCTTGAGTCAGTGCAAAGGCTATTAGAGGCTTTGATTCACCCATACGACAAGGCAGCTCTTTCCTGCCTCTGCAGTAGCTCTTCCTCTGCTCTTTACCAGCAATGCTACCAGCTCCCCACATCCCCTTGCTCTCTCGCCACATGCCGCTTACTCTTTGCCTTCCTAAAACAGACCTTAATCTCACACAAAGCCCCTCCACACTCTCTAACACCCCCCCCAACCCCAAAAAGGATCCCAATCCCCCAGAACTCCCCATAAAAAAATCACCTCCCAACTCTTCCAACACCCCACCTTTCTCTGTGTGACCTGCCTTCCCAGCTACTAGTGTCAAAATTACCGTGATGCCCCAAGCATCCACTGGGCCCCACAGACAACCCTGAGATCTGCATCCAGGACAGGCTTCCTCCAGACACAAAAGCCAGGAGCCTGTATGATCCCAGACAACCAACTGAACCCCCCCCGTCTTCTATACCTATAACTAAGCCTAATATAGCCTATTTTCCAATATTTACCTTCACAAGTCTGTATAATCCATGAGACTCTGTGAGACAAGACACTTGATTGCTTTCTGCAGGATAACCAGCACTGTTTGCTAAAATCTGTCACAATTAAGCTACTTTCTTCTAATAGCACTGTTTTGAATAACATATTTAGAGACTTGCACTTTGTTCTTCACTGAAAAATCAGCATTACTCTTTAAATTAAAGCCTGTGCAGCTGTACATCAAGTTGGGGTGTTCAAATGGGATAGGAAATCACCTTGCTTGCCCACCAACACCATCTTCTGGCTCTCCTACTGATAAATTTGAAGAATGAGACATGAATCAGAAAACCAATCTTGTTTTCTCCAGCCTTATTTTTCCTGCAACATTACTTTGTCTTTGCCTGCTAAGCAAGTATCTACGATTCTACGACCAGGTATTATAACTTTAGTACTTCAAGTTTTGTGTAGGACTAAGCACTATTCTAACTCACAAACTAAAATGCAGAGTTTGCTGATGAACACTATGACAGAGGAAAAAAACCAATCCAATTGTTCTGTGATAAATCAAGTAATGGTGTAGGGGTAACTTCCTCTTTTTGAATTATGGCGTGCAAAGCATCATTCTAGCTAAAAGATGTCCAATTAAAGATACCCAATTTAAGATAATAATCTTAAGATACAATAAGATACAAGGTCCAGTTGCTTACTTTCTATTGTTCCCAGGCAAGAAGGATAATTAGTGGGTGATGCAGTAAGAAAGAACCCCCACAGCTGTGCAAAGATCTCCTCAATATTCAGATAATTATCTCCAACGCTACATTTAATATCTCTATGTACTGCATAAGATACCACTAAAACTTCATGCACAGCTTGTTTTAGACAGAATGTTCTCATCTTAACAGAAAAAAGTATGAAAGGAGGAAGCCATCACTCCAGCCTGTGAAAAAGAGAAGAAACCTGGCAGCACTGGCTTTCCTGTTATCACTTAGTTATCATGCCATTATTTTCAACATGTAAAATTCTTTCTGCTTAAAACTGCTTAACTTGTCCACTTGTAAAATTCTATTAAAAATTGTAATTCTCAAAGCAGTTGTATGACAAATAAGATATATTTTATTGGAATCTTCTTTTTATTACAATGTTTTTAAGCAATCTTTATGCCAAATCAAGCCACTACAAACAATAATCTTAAAGATGACAATTCTGAAAAACACATCTTAGAGTCTTCTATGAGAACTATAAAAACAGACCACTTCAGATGTTCAGGTCTGAATGATTTTGGTGTGGAAAACGGACTCATGTCCTAGTTCTTGAACAGAACAGAACACTATATGAAGATCCAACTTTTGAAAATTATGCAAACCCTTTACAGGCTTAACAGCAGAGGCTAGCTAACCGCAGACTACAAAGCCTGAAATTTTTTACCTGAGTTATTTGTCAGCATATTAATAGATGTGCAAATGTTCTACTAAAAAAACAGTCCACTAGACAAGATGGACTTTGAAATGCACAGGGAAGGAGTTCTGGTTTTGTAATAGAACTCGTGAAAAATCCAGGGTGGACCCTCAAAATAAATTACTGCAATCTGAAATATTAATTAATGTAGAAGTAATATTATAAACAATCTGATGTTTGATTATAATTGTTAATGTAGTGTCACACACCATGAATCTGATGGATACAATGACATTACTTCAATCACCCTAATCATATTCTCAAGATGACTAGACTCCTTGTCCTCATTAGTAGTTCTAATGTCAGCACCTTTCACTTTTATACTTTCCTCACGTGAAGCAATTCAGAAATGCAACCAAGGGATCTCTTAAGTGCAACTTATAAAATTTGCACTTTAAAACTTAAAAACTGTCGACCCTATGTTTTTAACCTCCCAATCAGTGCCTCTAGACATGTTTATTTACATACCCGAAAGCATTTGCAAATGTATAACTATAAAAAATGCTGTTAGCATTAGAATATTGGAGGATTTAATATCTATTTTACTTTTTAAGACTTACAATGTATGACAAAGAAAATAATTCTTTAACAATTAGCAGTTATTTGCTGATTCTTAGTAAAATAGGATAAATAGTCATTTAAAAGTTTGGACTCTCCTAGTTATGAAGCCTTAGGAAGAAAAACACACAGTAGTTCTAGAAATGCCTGCTTAACTATTTTGACAAAATGTAACAAAAACAAATATATGGAAACTAGCTGAAAACAGATGTACATTAAATGTTAGGGAAAGTTTCCTAACTACAAGAGCTGGCAAGATTAGAAAAGCCTTTCAACCAAAGCAGTAGGAACAAAAGTTTTAGCTATTTTAAGTTAATCTTCAATAGCTGATGAAGGGGATTATACAATGTGCCTACCTGAAATACAGGAAATGAAGCATTTTTCTGCTGCTGTGCTCTAGCTTTTCAAACCTTAAGCAGCCCTACAAATACTACTGCCATGAACTTCACTTTGTACTTTGAATAGAGAGGTAGGAAAGCTACAGGCTGTCCAATGTTCTGTTCACCATCACCCTATCCTCTGTTCAGATATCCTTTGTAAATAAGCTGTGAAATGAATTGCTTTCAGCTAACATGTAAAGTTCCTGGCGTTACTAATTTCCTTTGCACATAGTCAGCAACTATGCCTTGCTTTTACCAAGTATTTGATTCAAACCCAGTGATTTCACATAAATCAGAGGTGGGCTTTACTGTTTGTTGACTAAATCATATGCTAACTTACAGAATCAATACAAGTATTATCTTTCTTTCCTGGATGGGCTCTTAATATTTTTTGGATTATTTATATTGATATCAATAAATAAATCTTTTGAGTATCTGGATTAAAATATATATATATATGTAAATAAATGGTGAAATTTACTTTCTTCCAATATCTCTATGGGGTATAGTATTTCTAAGAAAATTTGCCCATAAGTAAATTGAATGCTCAATAAAACCTCCAGAATTAACCCCTCAATCACTGTAGGATAGGCATTTTATTGGTTTACAAGTCTTAAAAAACCTACAAATTCCTATTCGCTGTTTATTGAAAGAGAAATGAAAGTCTTAAGGCTGTACAAACTATGGCTATTAAAATTATTTTAATGAAAAAGACCATTTCTTATGAAGCAAACGTTGCATACCACATAAAATAGACAAACAACTTCTACTTAGTTCTGTATTGCACGCTTTTGCTTTGCATTAATTTTGATTAAGAAAGAAAAAATTATTTACTGTTCTTAAGTTGAATTTCATTATTTAAGCAAACAATGGCATATAACTTAATTTAAAAATATTTTTTACCTGGTACGGGCTGTCTCTCATTCCATTCACTTGTGATTAAAGCTTCGACGATTTTTATGTGGTGTTCCGTATTATCAGAGCTGCAAGAGATGGATCAGGCAGTAAGAATTAGGAGAAATGAAAAAGTTTACTCTAGAGTTATTCAAAAAACACTGGAAAAATTTACTACAATGCCCTCACGTCAGAAATAAGTTCAGAAAATTACTTAATTAAACTTACTTTTGTATATGACTAACCCATATTTGCAGTAGAAAATATGATAAAGATGACCCACATACCTTGTGATCTGGGATCTGAAAAGCAGAGGGCTGAAAATTTCAGACAAGGACCTTGCATTCAAAAGATTTTTGCTGGAGGCTTGACAAACTCTGAGGAAATGTTTGAGCAAATACTGGAGTGTAAGCCAATATTGGGGAGGTATATTTGGAGATCTGATGAGTTTCTTCAGCAACTGAGCATACTCTTCTGAGCTCTGCACTTCTGCAAGCAAATAGATAAAAGGCTCTTGAAATCAGCACAGGAACATTCAAGTAAAATGAAACTATATGAGACTCCTTTAGAAGCGTCAGTTTTACAGAAAAAAATAATTCTGTCCATTAGCACTGTAAGATTTCTTTCGTCTTTTAAAAAAGTAAAATGCTCAGAGTAGAGTGAAGAACAAGTATTTAAAAGTCGAATGGAAATAGATATGCATTTTGGTAAAAACCGCAATATGTTCAGAGTGTACTGGTAGAAGTCTGTCTTGTGTTTAGCGTTACACATGATTGGGTAATTCAGAGATGCACTAGATAAGTCTCACAGGTGCTGTTCTAACTTTGAAGGTTACCAGTAACAATATCCTGTCCTGAATATATAACAGAATACTTGGCCCTGAAAGCCAAAAAGCCATACTTGTTTAAAATGACCACTGTAGATGAGGAATGCATGTATTTCTCACTTCATAATCTGCAACTCCCAATGTAACACAGCACTCCATGACCTCTAATACATTTACTTTGTCAGCACTGATAAAAAGTTAAAAATTAGCTTTCTGCATACAGATAAGTCCTTGATTTTTTTCCCCCAGTTCTTCTATAGTATTTCTACTTACTAAAACAAAGAGAACTGTGTAATTCCTTGTATTTTCCATTATGTTTACACAAATAAGTAACCAAATAATGCAGAATAATATCTAGTTCTGCTGAAACAGCTTTCATCAAAAGTGGTGAAGGTATTCATGTTCCCTGAGATGCTGCCACATTGTGCAGAATCTTCCCTGTTCTGTGAGTGACAGCTGGACTACCATATATTCAGAATTCTAATAAAAGCTTTTTTGTTTGACATTAGAAATACTGCGATAATCATACCTTGAGCTACAGAAATCATGTCACTGTGAACAGCAGCCGGAATGATGGGATTTGGCAGGTCCAGGATATACCTCTTGAGAGCATCTGATAAAGTATGCACATCAAATGCCTCTAAATCTAATGAAGAGGCATCTAAAGGAAAAGAGCAACATACTTTTTAGACTCTAGAAAATGAAAAAAATATACAAAGCTCATCATATTAGGGCTTCATAACAAGCCAAAATTGCTAACTTAACATCTGGTTTATGGGGAACAACTCATAAGAAAGAATAGAAGACATTAAGAAATATCTTTGAGACTAACAACATACAGTGTTCAACACCATGTCCAGGCCTTTGGCATATGATGAACCAAATGGCTTCTGCAGCTGTTTGTGGCCTTCTGTCACATACAGTTCAGGGCTGAACTCAGAGTAACAGTAATGACTTGCTGCATGTTGGAAGGGTAATGGAACACCAGAATATTTTTAACAGGTCTCTGTTTTATGTGTAAATATTTTGTGTAAGAAGTAAGTATTAATCAAAGGTTTGGTCAAATGCCACTTCTCTACTGGTAGCTACTTCTATTACGACTGAAAGTTTGATTAACAACTTGGGGCTCCAAGTCTGTAAATATTTATGTGAGTAAGTCAAAACAAATATACATGTGCAGAACTTGTGCAGCTGTTAGGATTTATCTTGTAGAACCTGATACCCTTCCAGGATAGTTACGACTTGGGATAAAGTTTGGAAGTGTCACATAAAGGAATATCAGCAACAAAAATAAAAATAGGAAAATATAGAAATCCTTACTTAGTAGGAGCCAGATTAGGGTTCATCCTGAAACATGAAACTCTGGCACAGTAAAGTCCTCAGTGTTTACAAAAAGATCCAAATTTGGTACAAGAATTTTCAGGCATTAATGCTGATCAACATTCTATGCTAGCCAGGTCCTCCATAAAATAAGTCCTGAATCCATTTGGCCAGTTTAAACTAAAGTAAACAGGGTGGCAGAGGAAATCAGATATGTGGTGCATCTACAAATACTGTGAAATAAGGCAGCCAAAAGGGGGTAGTGAGAAACTTAGAGCTACTCCACCTCCTTTCTGTTTTCCCCAAAGAAAAGCTTGCAGTATGAGCTCAAATCTTATCAGAGACTAAAGAATTTGCATGAGAAAAGAGACATCATGAATGTCTCAGATGATAAAAAACTTGCAGTGTGGGAATGAATTCTACAAGAGCAATTATGTGTCAGAGAATCCAACTAAAATTCTTCAGAAATAGTTTTTATTAGTTTTGTTGCTCACTGAATGTTTTTTTTTCATAAGCCAAGTTAAATCATGCCTCTTCAGTGTTGACCATTTCCTTGAAGTATATCCCAAATTATTATAGTGAGTACATAAGTGAGAATAAACTTACTCTGCAACTCTTTAGGTGTAATGATATAAACAGACCTGACCTCTTCCATCTGCCAAGCTGGCCAGATGCAAGTCAACTTTGATTTTAGAGCTAGATAGCACTGTGTTGATGCTAACAGACAGTTAGTCAATTATGGAGAGCATTTTAACCGTAAGCAGAACACCACACTAACACAAGTTCAAAACTTTGAGACCAAAGATGACTTTGCTCTCTGAATTAGCATTCTGCTGATCCAAAGAGAGCAGGCAGAGGAGATGAGATCTGTCTGCATCCATGTACCTGGATACCCACTGCACTAGCTTTGTCCTGGAAGATTCTGATTCTTTCTTAAAGAAAAGTCAGAAAGAGACACTGTTACTAAAGGGCGAAGTCCTGTTTTTGTTTCTCAAAGCTAACTACATTTTAAGTAAGAATACATGTAAACCACAAGTTTTTGATCTCAGGAGATAGATGAACCTTTCAAAAAAGTACACCTCAGTTTAGAAACTTAAGAAAGGATGCAGATAAATGAAGAGATACATTCATATTGGTGCCCAGAAAATCTGGATTTATCTGGACTAAAAATACAATTACAAACTAAAAATATGGCTGCTAGTGTGAGGCTGCTAGCACCATAAGCATGTCTCCTCTCCCTGCTTGTACACATACACTTCTTCACTCCTGCCACAATCATCAGAGGACAGGATGCCCTTTTGTTTTGAAGGAACAGACAACTCATAGTATCATCTCTTATTCATTTTGTTAATGTTTGCAATTATTAAAAATGAAGAGACTAATTACAGTTTAAGCATGCTTTCTTTGTCCCTTCAGCAACGAGGCATGTAGCCAGTTTCACTTCCCACCCCTTGTATTTTTGTGCTCCTTTAACCAAGTGAAAGCTCACACCACACATTGCACCCCAGCTCACCAAGATGTAGTCAAGCACTCCTCCTACAATAGCTACTGATCTCTCATACTGCAACAGGGTGCTGCCAAGCCAGTATATTCTGGCCTGAAGCAGTGTTAAAGAGTATCAAAAAGAAAAGGAAATATATTTCAGGAAACTTGAATGGGTAAGTGGTGCTATTGGTGTAGTTGTGTTTTACTGTCTAAAACCTGAGAACTCAGCCTACAATATTAATCAAATGGTCTCTGATACTCTGTAGCAGGGTAGGTAATGTGCTGCTATTGCCACCCCACCTACTGGACCAAAAACTGCACACATAGAACTATATGTAAACAAATGGTTATTTGTTTACAAAATAATAACCTGCAGCCTTACAGGAACAATGAATCATTATCTTGACTCTGACCAAAACATCTTTTTTTTTCTCTGTACAGCTAGATTATCTGTCTTTGAACAAGCAAAAGAATAAGCAGAGATTATTATTCTTGGAAAAAAAACACACAATGGAGCCATGAAGAAAGAATCTGTAAAAGTGAAAAATACCTTTCATATTAAGTGTAAAAGAAAAATTTTAATTATATATATGTCTTCTTAATACTATATTATTGAGGACCAGAACATATGAGTGGAGGAGCAAAAATAAAAGGAGTGCTCTGACCACAAAATCTGTCTAGTGCTTTAAGAAGGATACCTGTACTTACCACATTCAAAGATTTGTCTTAAGTCCGCTGAACTGCTTGAGCCTTGTGCTCCATACAAAGTTGAGCACTCCAGACCTTCAAAACAAAATCAATGGGATATATTAATATTTCAGTGACTGTTGCCTTGACAGAATATATTTCTCTTTTCTTCAAGAAGTTTAAATTAGCAACATTCTTCCACCGTCATCCACCTACCACACTAAGAATGTGTCTGCTTTTTAAGGCTACAATACAGCTCCTTGTACATTCACTGCTGTGTCTGCAGAAAAAGTTGACCAAGGAAGATCAGAAATACCAGCAGTCCCATGTATTCTACACAGCTATCCACTGGCCAACTGTAGAAGGCCAGGACTAAGAAACAGATTCACACTGGTGTGAGAGAAAATATCTGTATATGTCACATAATATGTCTAATAAAACACCTGAATAAAAGACACCGATAAAGTGGTTTTGTGTGAAAGGTACTGTTTACTACTTCCATATTTCAGTGAAAATAGAGAAGACACAAGGAGAGAGATCATATCCTGGTATGCAGAGCGCTGACGATTTAATACTATCAGTGGTGTTTCCTGAAAGCAGTAGTTACTTATGCAAAGGGTTGCTAAATAGTGGCCTTTCTCATTGATATTAGCAAGCCCCTACTCATTAAGGAAAGGCTTACACTCTCTTATAAGTATGCAGTACGTGAGAATCTATGTCCCCAAGGATAGCAGCCTGATTCTGATCAGAATATTGCTTTTCCTCTTGTCCCTGGCTTAAGATCCCTGAATGATCAGGACTCACTGAAGCTGCTCCTTACCCCACCAGGACTATGAAGTCAACATCAGAGGAGGTGCCAGGAGGACAGAAATAGGGCAAAAGAGGTAGAACACAGAAAAAGAAAGAGGAAAGCTTCAAAAGGATGGAGAGACATCAACATGGGAAAGGAGGAAAGAAAAAAACCATAAAAATAACACTGGCTGGTTCAACATCAAACCAGTTCTTGTAACTTTTTCATGGTTTATTATTTTCTTTGCCCCCTGCTTTCAGGCAAAGTATTACTTGTTTCCCTGTATGGCTGTGTATCCAACTCAATGTTATGAAGGTGTTTCCATAACCAACTGGTTAGAAAAAACAAAACAATACCAAACCCTTCTCCCTTACCTTTTAATAATACTCATATTAGTTGAGTTATTAAATGTCATTTGAGATAAGCTTTGGTTTTGCTCCTACAGTCCAAATAGCCTCTACTGAGCAGAAACCAGTGCAAGAGACCTTAAATGAGATTATTTCAGGTGTTAAGCAATATGATGCATTATCAGCTCTAGAAAGGGGAGATGCCACCTCTGGATCCAATTCTGCAGTCTTGGTTCACATAAGCAACAAAAAACCTTGGTAGATTGTTCTTCAGCCTACCTTTCTTTTCAATGGTCTCTACTAACTTGACAAGAATCTGTGGAGCAACATCAGGGGGTGCAAACTGTTCTGTAAGATCTGGAAGTGAAAAAGCTGTAAAAGAAAAAGAAGAAAAATAAGCCAAGCTACAGGTGAATGCAATTACTGTTCATGAAAATCATGACATGCAATGCAACCAGTTAATGTAGTAACAGAGCAAACATGCCACATATCAGGGCCACAAGAGAAGACTCCATAAGTAATCAGAAAATAGAATAAAAATGATGACAATTGCATTTTTATAGCATTTTCTTTTAGGGACCTAACTCAGTCCTAGAACCACTCACCGTACTGCCTGGGAAAAGAAAATATAATAAAAGCTTGTAGTCTGTGGTTGTGCAGAAATACAATGCAAGGAAAGAAAGAAAAAAATTTTTTGGTCTGAAACATTTACATACACTGTGCACCAAGTATGGGAACTAAACACATCACTGTCCGAGAGCTGCAGATCCTGTGGGTACAACAGATTTACAAAGACCTGAAACAGCAGCAGAAACAAGTATTTCACACTCGTAAAAAGTTCAACAACTTCTTTTTATTTCAATTTTCAGGCATTTTACTATGAACAATGTAGTTTACTTATAGCAAGAATCTCCTTTTCAAGGGCTGGTTAAGAATAAATAGTGGTATAATCGGAAAGGGACATTTTGTAGATTCAAACAAAACTGCATACAGATTTTATACAAAGTCAGTTTTCACACAATCTAGTTTCTTCATGCAGAGACCATACTCTATAAAGGAATATTCTAGCTCTGTGATGTGAGTGATGATCTATCTCTAAATACACAATTTTTGCCAAAAGAATAATTCAAAAGTTTTAGAGTGGTTCTGTTTAACACTTGGAAAGCAAGAATGTTTACATAAAGATATTAAACTACTGCCAGAAACATCTGGCATAGTTTGATGGATTATGATTGATAAACAAAGCTTAATCACTGAAGTAAAAAATGCCAGTTGCCTAAGTGATGGCGATCTCTGTCCAATTAAACTCACCATGGACAAACAGAAAGCAATTCTTAAACACACATACACATAGATGCCTGCATGGATATGTATACATACATATATAGTGCCCCCCACCCATTCTTACAAGACTGAAACTGAACAAAGTGATGAGGATAACTAAATAAAAGAAGAAAAAAAAATAACAGAAAAATGTGAAAATTTTTGACATAGCAAAAAAAGAAACAAAAATACAACAACTGAGAATGAGAAAGCAGAAAATTTTGGTGGATAATTCACCCTATTTTGGAATACATAATTCCATAAAAATGCAAACAGTTTTATTGTGGTTTAACCCCAGCCAGCAACTAAGTCTCACACAGCTGCTTGCTTGCTTTCCTCTGGTTGGATGGAGGAGAGAATCAGAGGGATAAAAGTGAGAAAATTAATGGGTTGATGTTCAGACAGTTTAACAGGAAAAGCAAAGCCACACACACAAGCAAAGCAAAACAAGGAATTAATTCACTGCTTCCCATGGGCTGGCAGGTGTTCAGCCACTTCCAGAAAGCAGGGCTCCATCATGTATAATGATGACATGGGAAGACAAATGCCATCACTCTGTATATACTTCACTCCTTCTTCTCCCAGTTTTATTGCTAAGCACAATGCTATATGGTGTGGAATGTTCCTGTGGTCATTTCGGGTCAGCTGGCCTGGTTGTGCCCCCTCCCAGTTCCCCCCATCCTCCTTGCTGGTGGAGCGAGGCGGGAAGAAGAAAAGGCCTTGACACTGTATAAATCACTTCGCAATAACTAAAACATCCCTCTGCTATCAGCACTGCTTCCAGCATGCCAAACACAGCCCCATGCTAGCTCCTGTGAAGAAAATTAACTCTACCGCAGCCAAAACTAACACAAATTTAAAAACTGCATGGAAGGGACAGAAGTTCGGAAGTGTAGAAAGATGAGGAGAGATGAAAGACAATATATAAAAATTATTTAGTAAGTAGTAATGAAGTGAAGGGCACTGAGATGCTGAGACACGTCCCTTGCAAAAAGAAGGAAGATGATGGTACCACAATGTTGGAATACTTTTTAGTCCACTCATAAGTGAAGACATTAGAAAAACATCTGTTAGCCATAACAGTTTAACTTAGGATGCCCAGAAAATAAGCATTCAGGAGTCCCAAAAGAGTTGCCTAAGCAGATCCCTGGCCTGATGATGTTTTAATGACTTCTAGAAAATCAGAGCAATTCCTGAGGTCAAAAGAGTTCTAATACCTGACCCACACTAAAAAAGGACAAGTAACATGACTACATGCTAGGTACATCATAAGTCATGGGCAAAATAAAGAAAAACCTGACACTAGACTCATATAAAGCAATAAAGACAGCACTGTATAAGGATTATCTGCACAGCTTTTTAGAGGATAGGTTCCTTCCTCGGTGACACCTTAGCGAGCTGAAAAATGCAAATGAGTAGACATAATAAGTTGTATGGTCAGTCTTTGCGAGTGAAGATTTGGGAAAGGTCTTTACTCTTCGAGCCGGCGCAGTGGATTTTTTAGGTGAGACACAGTGTGCGCTGAACTGAGCCCACCCTTTAATCCTGAGGTTCATCTACCGGGGCTGAGCAAGCTTGGACAGTGGTAGTGAGGTCCTCAGGACGCAGGTTTGTTTAGAGTGACCTTCTCTTAGATGGATGGCCTTACAGGGCTGACGAGCTCCATCTGCCTGGGGGAGTTCCCTGACCAGGAATCGAACCCCGGCCACGGCGGTGAGAGTGCTGCATCCTAACCACTAGAGCACCAGGGGGCCCCAGACATAATAAACTCTGACTTAATATAACACTGATTAAAAGCTGAATTCAAAGAAAGCGCGTTATATAGGTATAGCTGACCATTGTATCTCCAAGTATAGTTATTAATGCAGAACAAGCTACTCAGGGAAGGCATGGACTTTTCAATTCTTTCCATCTTTAAGTCACTTTCCACCTGGAACACCTCTATTAGCTTAACATCTGCTTCATCAGACACAAGATGGGCCCAAATGAAAAATGCTGCCCTCCAAGCAGCCTCTGCTCAGGCATAATGAATTACAGACCATCTGATTTGTAATTTTCAGATCAAGTAGTTCCTTTCAACCTCAAACTATAAATCGATCTTATGATGTGGGTAAATTTATTGAAAGAATAAATGGAAGATCAGTCATATCAAAGGGTATGCTATGAGAGTGCAGTTCACGGGAAGAAGCACCTTGCAAGGTGAAGACAAGACAATACAGAAAACACTTAGTCTCCATGGGAAATAAGAAATGGGGTGGTGTAGACCCTACATAGGTTAGCTAAACATAAAGTGACTTTTCCTGCAACCTACCTGATGCTCCATGCTTTTCATCTAAACTTTAAGCAGAATTTTAGCTTATAAACTAGGTTTGTATCACAACCTATTACTGAATATCTCTGTTGTGCAGTGTTCATTGATCAATAATACTCTTAATTAAAGTGAAAGGCTTTGGGAAGCTATGCATTTCCCTTTATATTTATGCGAAATCCGTAATATGTCTACAGAATATGTGTATGCCAAGCAAACATCCCATTGCTTAAAAAGACAGGTTTCCAATACTTCTCTGCTACCCTAAAATATGCATTTTAGAAGTTCAGAGAATTTCTGATGTCTCTTCCTCCCTTTATCATATTCCTTTCCAAAACTGGAAACCTGTATCTCCCAAAGACATTGCCGAACTTTAGATATGATAAGAAATTTAAGTGAATGACAATCTATTACATAAGTAAGCAGTCTGTAAGATACTTGCATATATGACCGAAAACTTGTGATATTCACCTGTCTTTTAATACTATACACGTGTACAAGCTCTACAGCAAGACACAAATAACACACAGACACACAATGACAGGTACAAAACCTGCAGTTACCTTCAGTGACAGAAAAAAACATCTAAGTCACACAGTCATAATGCTCATCAACATAGAAGAAAAACACTCATTTCATCAGCATGTAGGCACGAACAAATTAAAATCGCTTAACCTGCCACCTGTTCTAGGATTTCCTACTCATTGTGGCACCTCCACTATAACTAGTGCACAACATCATACTGACTTTCGCTTTAAATTTTCCCACTTCTGCACAGAATAGAAAATTACGTTCATTTAAAGGTGTAAGGCCTCGCAAAACACACGAGTTAGAAAAAAAAATAGACTTAACAGTACTCACAGAACCAAAGCCACTTCATAACATTGACATGGAAGACAGCCCAATTTGGAAACAGTGCATTTCAGTTTCAAAATGCTGAGAGGAAATCTCAGGGGCTAAACTGAATAAAACTACACCTAATTGGGGTGGGGGGAGGGCAGAGGGGTAGGGCCGAGAATTTACCCCTAGAGCTAGAATACAAGTTATGCTTAAAGAAGTTATGATTCTAGCTTGGGTGTTCCAAAAGAAAACTCAGCATGCACATTCAGATGTACAAAGGGAAAGGAAAACTTTTCAGACAGGTCACTTTTAGGGAAAGAGAACTGAACAAAAGCTCACATGCAAACTGAATTTAGTACTTGATTCCAAAATAATCTTTTATTTTGAAGAACACTGTAGGACAGCACAGAGGATTGGAGAACCGAATCCACACCTAAGGATCTAAGGTACTTTGTAGATACCTTTGCTAAAATCCAGTATTAATTTTTCATTTAAAGCAATAATTTCCCCCAAAATTCCTGGTTTTTTGTTGCTCTTTTTTCTTTTTTAATTCCAGGGTCTCCAAAGTATTATGGTTCTGAAAACTATTATATAGCTTTTATGCTTCTTCCCAGGTCTGGTAGTGGGTCTCCAGATAGTAAGGAAGCTTCCAGTGACACTTGACAAAAGCTGGATTTTCTACTAGCTCTATTTTTACCTTGTTGCAGTGAGAAACAATGAGATGAACAACAAATCAGGGTTCTCTCCAATCTGCAAACTCTTCCTTCTTCTTGATACAGACAGGACTGAATAGCTCTAAGGCAATAGCAATGTGTGGGAGATGAGAGCATACCTTACGTTCAATGGTTGCCAACACAGCTACAAAATGCAAGATGAAACCAGCATACAGCTGCACCTTTTG